AGGACACTTAGCCAATAACTAACTTCAGACTTGCAGGAGGTTCCCCTAACTGCTCAGTTACCCCTCCAAACAAAGAAGACCTGTGAGCTTTCCATGAGCGAAGAACACAATTTTTAAACTCGACTATTTCAAACTAACTATTGCATTGTAAGTAAAGAGCCCAACTCTTTACCTACAGGTTTCAAATTTGATCCTAACATACTTTAACGATAAAGGGAATGGGCAATAGGACACAAGAAAAATCAGCAAAGCAGTAAATGTCTGTAGTTACACTAGCACCCCCATGAGGCAGTGATGTTCATTAAATGCTTAATAGCAGGACCTGGACCTGACCTCCATATTAGGATGAAACTGGCTGAGCAGAGTGTCAGTATTTATAGACTGTTTGTCTGAGTTTATACACACAACACTGTGTGTGTGTGTGTGTGTGTGTGTGTTTGTGCACTTGTTTTACTACATTTGTGGGGTGCATAAACCGGGATTACACTATACTTGTTGGGTCCAGCAGCTTTTTTGTTCCCACAAAGCTGTTGGACCCCCACAAGTATTGTAAAGTGTGTGTGTGCGTGTGTGTGTGTGTGTGAGAGAGAGAGAGAGGGAAGCTAGTGTAGATTAGAGGTACAGGCCCCATACGTTCACAGAACACACTGACCTTAGTTCATCATTACAGAATCTTGTAACTTTTCACAGTGAATTAGACCCTATCTGATTGGAGCTCACTGTGAATGTGAATGAATATATATCGCAACAAAACAACATCAAAAGGCATTCGGCATTCTTGTTTGAAACACTCCTCAAATTTGGTTTCATGGAGACATTATTCACTGGTTTAAAATACATTATAATTCACCAATGGCTATAGCTTTCACAAATGGATTAACATTGCAGAGTTTCACACCGCGCAGGGTGAAGGGAAAGCAAGGATGCTAGCTGCCGCAGTAGGTCAAAATAATAATATCACCGGAATCCAAAACATACAAAACATTCTGACTGGAAACATCACTAACTGGCATGGGATGCGCACGGCCCAGGACCGGAGGGCTCTGCAACGTGTGATTAAAACTGCTCAGAAGGTCATTGGTACCCATCTACAGAGCATCAGTGATATCGGTGAGCCTTGTCATCAGCACTGCTCAGATGAATATAGTATATTTCTGTTTACCATTTTTATATTGCTTTTGTATTACGTTAAATTGTCTGCTCAGTAGCCAAAGGGAGTTACAAACTTCATTTCACCTTACAACCTCAAGTGACAAATAATCCTACCTTCTACCTTCCACACAAGACAAAAACGTCTCTATCCAGATGACATATTGCTTTCCTTACAAGAACCACCAAACTCCCCATCAAGCTCATCATTTCCTTTTCTGATATATCAGACTATGCTATCAACTGGAAAAATTCCACTGGTGTCCTCTTCCACTCCTCCATGACGACGTGCTGTGAATTCAACAGCATAAAACACACCCCTCAACAGGGGTAGTATTAAATATCTGTTCCACCTTAATTTTGTGCCACTAATTAGAACAATAAAAGATGAAATCACTGGACAAATTTACCCTCTACTCTACCTTACTCTACCTTTTGGCAGAATAGCAACCATAAAAATGGTCCTAAAAATCATACCAAAATTTTAAGCTGGCGTAGGCAATTTATCTTGGAAGCATTTTTGTTACATTTGTTGCTCTGATGCAAAAAAGAGGAGAAAATCCTGTATCTGTGGCTTTCACAGGAATGTAATAAGCACCTCCAATCATTTAATTTGGCCTGAATGAAATGACTGGCTCGCCCATCTTCCTGTCTAACTGCCTACGTGCGCCCTCTGCCTGTGCTCTCATTGCGCATGAAAATGTGTTTCGGGGGAGTGGCTTTGGAGGGAGGCCTGAACGAAGGGGGTGGGGGTTTTTTGGTTGGATACTAGACTCTTGATGGTTTCTCCAAAGTTGCCTAGACAAGCTTTTACATCTCAGCCCACTACTAACTGGCTTACATTAATAAACTCACTGACCACCAAATTATTCTGGAAAATAAAACATCCCAAATTAAACTGAGCACCCTACAAAAAACACAAATTGCAAGGAAAAGAAGAAGCTCCAATGTTTTTATTTTACCATACGTCATCTATAATATATCTAAAACTGAATCCATCAAAACTAACACATTTACTCATGGATAGAAATAGAACAGTCAGCATATCTGTATGTGTCATTAATAGAGGGCGGTAAGGTGAGAGGGTGAGGGCAGTAAGGGAACAAGGGGAGGGGTAGGGTAGGAGTTCCAACACACTTTAAGAGAGCTTGAAGTGATATGCTTGTCTCTCCCGGATCTGGCTCGGGCTTTTATTGTGGCCAGCCTAAGGCACACCTGTGCAATCCCCATGCTGTCTGATCAGCATCTTGATATGCCACAGCTGTGAGGTGGATGGATTATCTCAGCAAAGGAGAAGTGCTCACTAACACAGATTTTGACAGATTTGTGAACAATATTTAATAGAAATAGGCCTTTTGTGTACATAGAGAAAGTCTTAGATCTTTGAGTTCAGCTCATGATGAATGGGGGCAAAAACAGAAGTGTTGTCTTTATAATTTTGTTCAGTTTAGATATTTATACATAGAAGTATTTTGTTCCAAAGTGGAGAGCCAAGAGCTCCAAGTCATCAGTTACAACTCTATAGAGGAAGGGCTTATATTTTAAGACCATGTAATCAAACAAGTACAAATAGCAGATTCTGTTTACACGGTTTGTTTTCCTGTTAATCTCAGTCTGAACCCTGAGTCACAAACACACAACAGGACACTAATAAATCACACACACACACACACACACACACAAAGGAACCACAAGCAGGACATCCTTACACCAGGGGTTATGACCTCCTCAGCTCAGCAGTAAGCCCGTCACTGATTTGACATAACTTTCTGTTTTTACCCACAGAGTTTCCCACCGTTGAACACGGTTAGAAAAATGAGGACAACTTATTGACACTGAAAGGAATTGCGATAATATACCTTGCAGCGACAATATGTCGGCAACCACAACTCACTCTTTGGTCTGAACCAATCACTATTTTTTTAAATGTTAATTAAATTAATTGTCATTGAAACATTGGTAACACCACAATAAATTCTTATTCCTAATTGAAACACCTGTTTATGAAAGATGGGCAGCATCCAACCTGCCTTCAAACTTTGACAGTGTTTGAGACTCATGATAACTTATTTAGTGTGTCAGTACAGCTGACGGCTCAGTCCAGCTGTGGTCGCTGACACATCGTTGGAGCTTTGAGATGATCCACCCAGCCCATTCAAACAGGTTTGAAATGGGAAATCAAAGAATGTTGTACCCACATCTTTACATAGACCTGCTCCATCAACATCACAGATCAAGCACTCGATGGTGGACCGTGTTCTGAGCTGACAGAGCTCACGACTCCGGCAAGATCAGAGGAGGTGGACTCCTCCACTATCCCCCACTGCTCAGGGCTAATAAACTAATGACAGTGGTGCATGTGGTAGATGGGCTACTATGGAAACATTTGATGTTATGGATTCACAGTGTATAGAAAATTAACATTTATAACACAGACATAGTACTTAAGCAAGATTCCTAACTACCTAGCTATTTGGCACTCAGTGTTGTTTTATAGTCTTTCCAACCACTCAAAGCTCTTTTCACATTCATACACACACTGAGTGGCAGAGGCGAAGGTGCCACTGCCATCAGAAACGGAAATAAATGCATAGACGTCCACACAATGATGGAACAGCCACCTCGAGCAATCTGGGATTCAGTGGTTGCCCAAGGATACTTCGACATGCAGACTGTGGGAGCCGGGGACCAAGCCACCGACCATCTGATAAGTGGACAACCACTCTACCCCTTGAGCCACAACCTTCTAAGCCACAACTTGGTACATTACTTAACTTGAGGACAGTTGGGCCAGGAGGCAGACGGACACCCACAATTGGTGGAAGGTTAGCGCTGGGGCATTTCAAGTAATTGGTGAGGGCAGATAAGAGTACCAACAGCTTGTGAGAAGTCACGGTACGCCAAAGAGTAAAATGTAATATTGCTGGTACTGGTCAAAGCAATGCAAAAACGCACACAATGAATGCCAACCGTAGAAAGCAAAAGACGAATCCTTGACATTTTGGGCAATTTAAAAATCCAATCTGGACACATTTTTTAGGTCCCAAAAATGTCCGGGAAAAAGAGGATGTGTGGTCAACCTGTTCCGACCCAGCATTTTAATGTAATAACTGGTAGAGGATTCACTCTCATCTGTGATATTAAATAGGCCTACTGCTTTGTACTTGCATGGATTGTATTCTTTCCAGTGAAGTAATTTATTTTCCATTCAGTGACATTTACACCATTTTCCCAGTGCTTGCAGTGATTGTCTTAAAAGAACTTTTGACTGGCTAGTAAAACTTACTAAGAGGGCTTGGATGCTTCACTGTTGTGAATTATGCTAGCTCGATAAGTAGTCAGTCACAATCTTTGAAATGATATATATATATATATCTCCTTCTCACCAAAATGTTTCTTCTGAGACTTAGGCAGTGCGCCTAAGCCATATAATGGCAGGGAAAACCTAAAGCCTATACCCTGTTATAGGACTGGCTCCTACATAGTGGTGAAATACTAAACAGTGGATGTGCTTGTTGTGAGCAGGGCTTTTTTCAACTTAACCCCACAAAATACTGTAGAACAAAATACTCCATAGCCTTGGAGAGAACGCAGGCTTACTATTGAGATAACGATTACAGTTAAAGTTATAGCAGAAAATACACTGTCTAATCCATTGCTTACCCTTTTGCTCTTGATTTTTGGTTTTTGGAGAAAAGAACCACCATCTCTTATTGTACAGCCCATTGCTTCAACATGTGGAAAAATCAAAAGCTGTCTAGTTACAGTTGCAAGAAATGATTGGACAACTACTGTTCATGTGAAGGGGATAGCAAATGGTCAATTGATGGAGGGCCTCTGCTCTCTCCTACCTGTTCTTGATGTATAGATCGGCTCTGTCTGCTGAACACGGTCCGCAGTGGTGGGATGAGGGTGGTGTTTGTTGTTGTTGTGGTGGTAATAGAGAAGGAGGAGGAGGAGAAGGAGGAGGAAGAGCGGGTAGAGATGGATATGAAGTACCAAACTCCTCGATATATCCTGGATCAATCTCCCTGAACAGACAGGCAGAGAATTACAACATTATTTTGATGAGAAATTTCTCCTCATCTAGCATGATGTTTTCCTTTTTAATATACTAATTTACACTGTAAAGAATGTAGAGAACTACTTCCATAAGTTAATAATGTAAATTCTCTAAAAGCTTTCTCTGAGTACCCAAGTCAGCCTCTCTTTTTCAAATGTATCTCAATGCTTTCACAATATTGTTCATTTTGATACTTTCTTTCTGATTTTCCAGAGCAGATTAGCTATTCTACAACCGCCGCACTTAACCACAGGGCTGTCAAAATAAACCAGGCCTGTTGCGTTCAAGTCCGACCGGTTCAAACAGGACCGTCAGCATGTCTGTCTTCTGTTGCCACTGTATGACCCATCACATTCTCAATTTACTAATTTATCAAACGCTGTTCACCACAGTGGCCTATGCAGTGTGATAAATTGCTGCCATTCAAAAGCAAACCATGGTGTCAACACCGGTGAGGCGCTCAAAACTTTCTAAATAAGACTTTGGATTACGTTGTCAGTCTGTCTAGTTTTAGTAAATTATATAATTGACTGTTTATTGTTTGACGTGTTACATGTTAGAGAATTTAAGTTCAATAAATGTGAGTATTGAAATCAATGTTTCTGCCTTTAGTTAGAAGGCTAATGTACAAACTGCAATTATTATGGTGGTTAATTATGGTGGTCTCTGAGCTACTACTGCTTCTGGTTTATTGATCCTAGAGAACAGTGAAGTTATTGTACAGAACCTTTAAATATCAGAATTTATATAAGATGAATACAAATCCTTTTGTCATCAGATAACAAACATCTCACTCTTTAATTAAACTAAAAGTGTCAGAGCCGTTTAAATCTTCAATCACTTTGAACAGAGATGAATACAGAAGATAATCCTTACAAAAACACACACACACAAACACACCCTACCTTATATTATTAACTGAGGAAATTCCACTGCTAAGTATTCAGAACTTTATACAGCATCTACACACTAATCTGTACCACATGCATGCACACGCACGCACGCACGAACACACAAACACACACACACACACACACACACACACACACACACACAAATACAGATAAAAGCCCATTAAAGTGAAACCTGTCGAGCTGGTTAAAGGAATTCGTGGCAGCCACAACACCCTGAAATAACCAGAACAGGAGGGACCATGTTGTCACATCCACTTTCCATCTCATTACACACACACACACACACACACACACACACACACTGCCCTCTCTGCACCTTTTACCTGGCACTGAGCTCACCTGAGTTCAATGGTTTTCAGGTAGTTACTCATCCAGAGATAACAGCAGTGTTCAGCCAGATGAGACTTGGGAATTGAACCGTATGCTGTGAATTTTGAGGAAGTGTGTCTAAAATGATGCACAAGACATCAACAATATATCCATTCATCAGATAATCATGGGACACGTGCCAATGAACAAACTCGTTCATTCCATTAAGTTCAATAGTGAGAAAATACTGAAATGTTAGTGTCAAAATCAATTCATTCTAATGGAACGTTCGCAATCAAGGAATTCACTCGCGGGAGTATAGTCAATCCCAGCAAATACTTACACATCAAGTTCAACATTAGTGAATTACATGCAATTTTCCAATTGCAAATTCCAAAATGAAGGTTGCCGTGGTAGCTTATTGGCTGTGCTGCACCATCTACTTTTATTTAACCCTCTGCTCTATGACTTTTCACCAAGCTTAATTAAATTGTTAGCTGTCATGTGTAACAATATAGGTGTGGTTCTCTTTTAATTTTGAGGTCAAAGAGGAAGACAATGTACAGTAACTGTGTCTGTCAGTGAGGCATTTGATTTATCCTGTTAAATAAATAAAGTCAAAATGATTGAAAACCAAGTCAATGAGCCCAGAGTCCAGCTCCTCCCTGCACAGAATCAAGAACCATAACAAGACACCCAGTGATGCTTTATGTAAGGCAGACTATATGGATGGAATTTCTATCCCAATAGTAACATGATGACATAGCAAATCCTCTTGTCATGGATGTGTTTCAGTTCTTTTAGTAGTTATCATGTGACCTGTGAGTTTCATGATAATAGGTGGTCATATATACTGTATATATTCTACTAGGTGGGCTCTTGTTTGCGATGAGACCAAACTTTTCTATGAATGTCACTTTTTAAACCATGAGAAAGGCCAAAATGCGGTCTACAACAGACTACCTAAATCTTGTTTTAAGCCAGGTGATTGCCAGGAATGCATTTTGCTGCGTCGTAACATATGTCGTACAATGGCGAATACTGTTGAAAAGACCAAAGTAGTAATTTGATTATTTGAACACAAATTAATTAAGGAATATGCACCATGTAATCATAAAAATCTAGTTAAAAAAATACAAACAAAGTCCTTTAAACAAGACTTTGACATATTGACCCTTATCGAGACACTTTATGAGGTAAATTCTTGCACACACTCACACACCATTAGCAGGAGGTGGCCTGACCATGAGCATCCATCCGTCCATCGTCAACCGCTTATCCTGCGTACAGGGTCGCGGGGGGCTGGAGCCAATCCCAGCTTGCATTGGGCGAAAGGCGGAGTACACCCTGGATAGGTCACCAGTCCATCGCAGGGCCACATATAGACAGACAACCACTCACATTCAGTGTCTTACCCAAGGTAACTTTGATGTGTAAACAGGAGGTGGTGGGGGATCAAACCTCCAACCCTGTGATCAGTGGAAGACCCATTCTACCCCCTACCCTGCGGTAAAGCAGTTAAGGCGGGACCAGCCTTGAGGCTCCTATCATGTCAGTTGATGTGGTGGTGAACATACCCAAAGAAGATTTACTCAATGTAAACCTGGAGCTTTCAGGGCCCCTGCAGTTTTGGGACCGCTGGGTAGTTGCCCACTTTGCCTTTGCCTCGGAACTAAATACATACTGAAGGTATACAAAAATCTAAAATGTTTTGCCCACAATGTTGTGTCAGTTTTTCCCTGTGGTAAAACACACACATAGAGCAGTTGCCTGGGAAACCATTTTGTGGCGGCTCGCCCATGTAATGACTTCTTCTTCTTCTTTTTTTGAGCAGAGAAACTCAAGCATTCATTAAGCTCTATTACGTCAACCAACAACAAAAGGGAACAAAGAAAGAGAGTCACTGGTGATGAATGAAGGGGAGGGGGGGACTCTGACTGTGTTTCCACCCCAAGTACCTGGATCTTTTAGTCCCAGAAACTACTTTACAAGGAACTTAAAGGTTCCTTCAGCCCATTATCTGTGTTTCCACCACAGTCTAAAGACCCATGAAGAGTAGACAAATTAGGCCACGCACAACTTTTGCTTGTGAATATACAACAATGACACCATATAAAGCGTCAGACAGACATTTTTTGTGCAACACAGCAACAACAGTTAGCATGAAGTAGATTCAAGTCGTACTGATGGTGATCGTGATTTACTGCTTTATAAATGCAGTTATCAAGTCAATGAAGCACAAAGACCAAAAAACAAACTGGTTTGCAGCTGCAGATTTTTAAAAGTGGTGACTGATATACTTCCCGCGAATACTCGACCAATAAGTGTAAGTGTAAGTGTTTAATGCTGCAGTGCTGCTAAGTGTTGAAATTCCTCTTGGCTTCCATTTCTCACTAAATACATTTCCAATTTTGATCCTCTTGTTTTTATTTAAATGTTTAATTTGTTCATTAAAAAAATACAGAAAAAAACAATGTTGCTTGTCTATGTATGGCCCTGCGATGGACTGGTGACCTGTCCAGGGTGTACTCCGCCTTTCGCCCCAGCCAGCTGGGATTGGCTCCAGCCCCTCTGCGACCCTGTAGCAGGATAAGCGGTTGATGACCAACAATAACACGAACTACATTAAAGCAACCATTGAAGTTCCTACTTCTCTGACAGATGATCATGTTTGGCACACTGTAAAATATTCATCCAAACACACTTTTGCTAAACCTTTGAATGGAAACATGTTTTGTAGCCCACAGTGAGCTTCAGTCCTCAGATCATCAACATCGCAACCAAATCTAAGGAGCTCAAAGGTCATAGCACCTCGACAACAGCTGTAAAAATATTTCTGCAATCACTGTTATTGTAACCAACAACCATCATCTCATTCACACACTGTGACACTCTGCTGATAACTGTGCTGGTATGCTGCATGACCTCCTAACAGACACCGACATCATGACTCATCTCCTGCTCTCGTCTCTGTTTAGCTCTTTAACTCTCTCGCCTCCCTGCTGTCTGCTTCACAGTGTTCATTAACGTTTGAAATGTCAACTTAATAAGAAGAAGAATTGCGAAGCATCCAGGATCACCTCAGTAAGCCGACGTTCACACTGACTTCATCCCTGAAAAAAAACACACAGCACTCTCATTTGTTTGAATGGAGCCAGTCCTGCAACGTGAGGAAAGGCCTATCATACATGCAAGCACACATTCCTGTGGGATTAGTTAGTTTGGTATTAATAGTATGAGAATTATAAATCTTTGTGCAGTGTTTGAGGGTCTGATAAACCTCTAAAAGTTTTCATCTGTTACACCAACTAGACTTCCTGAACTGTATTTCATTGCCTCGCCAGGATCTTAACAACACGCCCCCAGAACATGCATTGTTTTAATGCAGGGCTGTTTTTGGTCCGAAAGCCTGTTGTGACTTAATGGGAGCAAATCCCTGCAACAAGGATCCAAAATCTGGTGGAAAGCCGGAAACCAGAAGAGTGAAGACTGTTATAGCAGCATTAGCAGAACATTGCCAATAGCTAAGGAATGACACATTCAACTATCACAGATGATTGAAATGATCAGTTGTCTGCATGCTTTTGGCTAGGAAGTGTATACTGAAGCCACTATGCAAGTCATGTTTTGTGTTATCTATCTATTTAGCTATCTAAACTATATGGGAAAAAGTACCGGGACACCCCTGCCCCAATACAGGGGCTGTATCTTGATGCCACAGCATACAATTTTAGACAACAGTTCT